TAAATTAAATATACAAAAATAAAAAAACGAAAAAAAAAGAATAGGGAAGGAAAAGACACACAATCTAACACCTCTCAACGAAAGCACCAATGATGACGATCGCGTGTCCCGGATGTACGATTGCCTTGAATTTTCGCGCGAACGGCTCCTTCTCGGCGTGGTGCGGACAATTCGGAGGTTAAACTCCTTGTCTTCTCGCGATAGATGAGACAACTCGGACGTGAATCCTTGCCAAACTCCAGCTTATGACGAACTATGCAGTGGAACGCCCTTTTCGACACAAGGATTTTGTGATAAAACTCTAAGAATTCCAAACACAAGAAGATGAACAAAAGTTCTGATTTCTGTTGATAAATTTGATAATCCCAAATAACATGGGAAAAAGGCCTTTATATAGACACAAAATATATCTAGTCCTAATCTACCTAGGGAACTAATAAAGCAATAAAATATTAAGTATCCTAAACAATCTAGATATTATAGTGGAGTAAGGAAACCAAATAGCTATGGGATCTAATGCCTTGGCTTGCACTCCAAGTAGTCTTGCCTTGTACTCCACTCCTACTCCTAGCCGCCCATCCGCCTTGGTCCAACCGCCCGCGTGTTGCGCTAGTCCTCGAGGACTAGGGTCTCGCATCCTACGCCCGCTTATCCTCTTGCCTCGAGGAGTAAGGCCTCGTGCCTTGTGTACGCCATTCTTATTCCTTGAAGGATCATGCCTCGAGCCCACATCCACTTTGCCTATTCCTACTAGGAATATGCTCCCGGCTATGTTGCCTGATCTCTCGAGGATTACTCTCGTCACCGATCTTTCACGCGTGTTCTGACACTCAGCTGCCTTTCCTAGTCTTGCGGGGGCTAGGATTCGCACCTTGCCGATTTCTATGAGGATTAGGCTATTCATCCTTGTCATGCCTCTCCTTGCCCGTGCGCATGCGATCGCATCCTGCGCCCGCGTGACCATCTCGCGCTTATCGCGCACGCCCCGCACCCCAGCGCTGCCTTCGCTCTCGCTCAGCGCCCCGCGCGTGTCGCCCGGTGCCCCGTCGTCCAGAGCCTATCCATAGTAGTCCCTCGCGCGCGCCAACCTCCCAACGTACACCCCCTGCGCGCCATTCAGCCTATCCTCCAAGCGCCATGCACGCTGCTCCTTTGCAAAAATCTCCCATCGACTATCCCGCATCTGCGTCGACCCGTGCTCGGGCTTGGTAGGGTCGATGACCACTTCCGTATCAGCCGAGTGGCGAGGCACGCGCGGGAGGCGGTGCCCTAGTCCTCCAAGACTAGGGCGATGGACGAAGGCGCGCGGTGATACGGAAGTAGCTTGGCCGGTCAAGAATGCCGCAAGTCGCGCATATCACGCTCGCAAAAGGATGGCACGAGGGACAGCGGAAGTACGCGCACTTGAGTGTAGTGCGCGCACGGCTAGCGAAAATGGCCAGCGCACGGGCCTGCGAATGAGCAAAGGCAAGGGCGCGCAGCACGTGCGGGCAACAAGCGCAGGGGCGCGAGCGCGGGAAATGCGTACTGCAGGGAAACACGCGCGGGGCTTGAAGCCCTATGCCTCGAGGAGTGCGGCAACCTGGGTGTCGCGGGAGAACACACGCGCGTGAGCGGAGCCGAGGGCGAGGACGTGCGCGGTACGCTGGATGAAGGTGTACGCGCTAGGCAAGAAGCCCCAGTACACCGGGTGGCATTGGTGTGCGCAGCACGCCAGGCACCAGTACACGCGCGCAGCAAGGCGGCGCGCCCTAGTGCCGCGAGGACTAGTGATGAAGGATCAGGTGTTGCGTTCCCTCGACTTGTCTCGATCACGGCTTTGCCACGGCCTTGCTCTTGACGATAGGTGTGATCGACTCGGTTATTAGCCAAACTCTCTCACGATACTTGAGTTCACTCGGTCATTAGCCTCGCTACACTCTCGAAATAGATCGGGTCTTAGCCTC